TATTGGCCAATCACACGTTTCACTCAAAATCTTGAAAACTTTCGTGAATTGGTTGAAATTGACATGGCTGAATCGTTAAAAATCGATAGTATTAAATAGGGATATTTCGCAACTCCTGTTTTTCCCACTCCCACAGCAATATCCGGTTCTATGGGATATGGAGTGGGAAAGTAGTTTCGGCCATTTCGCAGGTTCCATTTATAGACATCCCTGGAACAATGCTAACTACTCAGTACCATTTCTTGCTCAATGGAGAACACTGACTACACATTCGCTCTCTTCTTGGTCAAGTGGGCAAAGAGAAAGAAATTTCGCCCCAAGCTGACAATGGCCCTCTATGAGTATGCCCTTGGGTTACCGATTGAGCGACCCCTCATTCCCGATGTAAGGTTCGATTTGAACATGCGCGATGCAGATGCTCAGCTCTCATTCCGCTTCGACGTTGGTGGTGTGCTACAACTGACCTGTTTGCTGGGGATTCCCAATGTCATCGTAACAAGCTGTCGCGACCGTATTCTTGGCGTAGAAGCTATGTGTATCCTGCTCCGTCGTCTACGCTACCCAGTAACATACTATGACATGGTGGCAACTTTTGGGAGGTCCAGGGAGCAGTTGTGTCGTGTGTTCAACTACATGGTCTCCTTTGTATACAGTCAATGGAAAGAGACGATCTACTGCAACACTCGAATTGTTCGCGCTCGTATTGCTCAGTACGCCGCAGCTATCCATGCCAAAGGAGCCCCCTTAACTCACGTTTGGGCCTTTCCCGATGGCACAAAACTCGAGTCTTGTCGCATCAGTGCTTCCTCTATTGGTGCAGCTGGTTTGAACTTGCAAAAACGAATTTATTCAGGCCACAAACGTAAGCACTGCCTGAACTATCAAGGCCTTACTACACCCGACGGCTTGTGTATTCATTTCTTTGGCCCATTGGAAGGCTCCCGCCACGATGTCGCCTTGCTTCGAGTCAGTAAGTTGCAAGATTTTTTTGAAAACAACTCTGACATTTTCAACGGATACTACATTTATGGTGACCCAGCATACCCCATCTCCAAGTGGATCATATGTGGTTTCCGTGGGACGAATTTGTCTGAGGAAAAAGAATTGTTCAACGCTGCAATGAGTCGCGTCAGACAGGGCGTTGAGTGGAATTTTGGGCGTCTCAAAACTTTGTGGGGATTTATCACCTTCAAAATGCAGCAAAAAATCATGTTGTCCAATGTTGGCACAATGGTCTTGGTGGCAATGTTGTTG